GCCCTGGTATTTTTTTCGTTGTGCTGCAAATTATAACGTCATGAGAACCTTTGGACTATGTGGTGTATTAACATGCCTGTTTTTTTTAAAAATTTACTCGTCGAGGTTTATGCTAACATTAAGACTATTTTCAATCTTTACACATCGATCGTCATAACTCTTTATCAATCTCATCAACACCATCGTTGTCTTTTTTTATCTCACAAAAAGAGAGCTGTAAGAAGGAAATTCTCTTTCGGAGTGGAGAAAGAGGCTGGTCATCATTGTAAGCCGGCCGTATCTAATGTTCCGTCCTCCTCGGTCCGTCTCATCTTCTGTTTCCTAGTTCAGCTATGACTCCCCTTATACGCCATCATTCTATGGCGCACAGTTTCTATTTTCGAGTATTCGAAATCACTTGCTTTCGATTAGCAAATAAGCTCGTTACTTTATAGATAGTCAGTCAATCATTATTCGCTTTAATTTCGGGTTTTCAGCATTCATCTCAGTTCTGGTGGTCCGGATCACATTGACGTCCAACGTCGTATTCGATTTTTCGCCGGGCATTTGCCGCTTTGGGTACTATGGGTGGCCAGCAAAGTAGTGCCAAAAGTGATGGAAGTGCTGCTTCAAAACATGCTACTGGCGACTGCTCATTATTTAGCGCAGGTGAGTGACTATATAGTAGAATTCTTCATCACCAGCTCTTCTTATTATCAATTCCTCTCAATTCTTACAGCTTCTCCTTGATTTCCATCGCTTTAGCTCATAGTTCGTCTGTTTTCACAACTTTTTTTTTTTGCTTTGTCGCTGGGTCCATCCTTCCTTTTTGTCGTTTTACCGTTGCCCGTTCCTCCTTATCGTTTTACACTCCTACCTCCCACTTTTCATCGTTTTACCACTATGTTCAGTAACCGTTTAGCAATTTTTTTCTTACAAGAGAATCCCCGATCTCTCTTTTGGATGTTTCTGAACTTTACTCCGTGCAAAAGCTTTGCTCTATGTTTACATTTCTCACTCTGCGCTCATGCAGCTGCTACATTGAAGAACACATCGCTGATAATTTCATGTGACAATCTTATTTGTTCGTTTTCTTTTTTATGCTGGAAGATCGCTGCCTACGTGTTCTTTCGCTCACGGTGCGACATTCGGCGGTCACAGATGTGCCCGCTCTGGCGATTTTTGCAGCCAGTCGCGCTTTCGACTGATGATAGGTGGACGAGTAAGGGGAGGGAGAGGAGGGGAGAGTAACAATTCGAAATGATTTATGATTTTTGCCGCTAATCTTAAGTTATTCTCTCTTTATTTCAAGTTACTACATTAAGTTTTTATCATTTATCATAGCGCCGCTTCCACCAAATTTTCACGACATTGTGAGGTCACTGTCGACAAGATGTTATACATTTCTTCAGGTTTAGTTTTTTTTGTGGATCAGATTTACTCAAGTCAATGCGCTTTTAGACTCCCGTATTCTCAAAACCACAAATGTTATCTGCTACATAGTAAAACCTTTGTAGAATTCCTCGTAGTATTGATACATTTTTTTCAAAGATGTTTGTTGCGAGCATTCCAACGTAATAATGCATCCTAAGAAATGTCGTTCAAAAATTCCGTGGATATTTAAGTGACATTTTTCAAACTCTACTGTGAAGTAGCGTCTTTCGCACACATCTGACCAACATTCTCTCCTACTTAGAGAAAATCCAGTTTCCTTCGGTGGTCAGTAGCGGTGAGTATCGGTATCATGGAATTTTCTTTCAGTTATTTGGAAGAACTGAGCTTTTTGAATTGATTGTTGCACAACGCTCTGCGGCGAAATGCCCATTCTGGCCCATCATTGTTTGATTTTTAAACTATTGATGCTTATGAATTTCAATGGATATGCCCTGACTTTGATGCCGATTAGAGGTAAATGTGCTGCGCGAGGTCAATCACGAATCCGATTTGCATTCAATGCCCGTTCCGGCCTGTGAGCATTTTCTTATTGTTAACAACGATTATGGGTCTGCCATTATTGGGTTAGTGTTGAATTTGGTCTGCTTTGGTGCAAAGATTA